TAGCCTTATCCAAAAGTCCAATGATAAGGTCATAATCCTTGATGACTTCAACACTAGAGTTGGGAAGGATTCCGAAGTCTGGAAAAGTGCGTTAGGCAAGTATGGCATTGAAACGGACGAATTCTACTAGAGCTCTGTACAGAGCTGACAAACATTATCTTTCAGCAGAGAGACAGGTTGAAGATAATCTGAATGCATTCTCGATCTAAGGATTGGCATCTTATTGATTGTGTCTTAGTGCGTCGGAGAAACGTTCACGATGTTTGTCGCATTCGTATGATGCCTAGTGTAAAATGTTAAACAGACCATCACCGCCTTATGCGATGTAAACTCAACCTTTAAATCCAAACCTGAGAGAGGTGGAATTCCAAGAAAGGGGGCTCAAAATCAATAATCTCCAAACATCTTTAGTAATAGAAAACTGCCAGATGAATCTTCAAACCAGACTTCAAGATCATCTCACAAATCCCTCTTCTGAAATGCTTTGGGAACGTATTAAAACCAGCATTCTGCTATCTTCCGTCGAATCCTGCAACAGAAATAAAGACTAGTTTGATGGAAACAATGAAGAGATCCAGAATTTGTTAACAAAAAAGAGATTTCCTCACTAAGCATAGCTCGTTTAGGCCATCTGTTATGTTAGAAATGTCATCTTTTGTTTTGCATACAGAAGCTCCAACAGAAACTTCGAGACATCCAAAACAAATGATAGATAAACCTAGCAGATATTCAACTGTAACTGAAAGTCGTGTATGGAGCCAAACATCACAGTCAAAACTCCCTACTCAGCGCAGATGGCTAAACGCTTCTCATTGGCAAAACCTATGTCATGAGTCGATGGTTCTCTATCCTGAATCGATGGTCTGAACATTTCCAGACTCTTTTCAATGCCAACCATGCAGTCCAAGGCTTAGTAATTCAGCATATTATACAACAATCGGTGAAAAACGAATTGGATATAACCCCGACTATGACAGGGACGTTCAAGGCTACACAGCAGGTGAAAAGTGGTAAGCCAGCTTGTATTGATGATATCCCACATGAGACCTGGAAACATCGAGGTCAAACATTTCTTTCACGAGCTCGTTCTGTGATGTTGGGAAAAAGGCGAACTTCTACCAAATCTCCATGGTACACTCATTATTGCCTTATGTAAGAAGTAAAATCAGACTGCTTAAATTACCAAGGCATACCCTGCTCTTTATTGCTGGCAAAATCCTTGCAAGAACACTTCTTAACAGACTGGTACTCGCTACATCAAGAAAAGTTCTACCTAAAAGTCAATGTGGCTTCAAGAGTACCACAGATATGGTATTTGTTCTCCGACAACTACAAGAGAAATGCAGGGAACAGAACAAAGGTTCTTCGTACGAAGGTTCTTTATATAACCTTCATAGACTTTACTAAAGTCTTTGATACTGTGAGCAGAAAAGTCTTATGGCAGATCTTCGAATTATTAGGATGTTCTCCCAAGTTCCTGAAAATGATCAAGCTCTTACATGAGAATCAACGGAGCCAATCAGATGTGGCGATGGACCCTCAGAACCTTACCCAATAATCAATGGAGTGCAACAAGGTTGCGTTCTCGTACCAGCTCTATACACAATCTTCTTTTGCATGATACTAAAAAGGACCATGGTAGGCTTCGATGAAGACAATGGCATTTATATTTGATATCGTATCAACAAAACCTATTCAACCTAAGGCGACAAGTTTCCATAGAAGATTCTAAACCATCACATCTGAGAGAACTTCTTGCCGACGATCCTGCTGTCGTTGTTCACGCAGAAGCAACTCTGTAACGTTTAACAGCTTGAAGCCGCAGAGCTCTTTGGCCTAGAAGTAAGCATAAAGAAGACAGAAATTCTCTACCAGCCTGCACCACAGGACGGTCATTTTCATCCTCATGTCACCATAGCTATTTGGGCAGCATCATTTTTCCACGTTAAAATCGATAAAGAGATTGACAACAGGTTAGCGAAGGCATACAAAGCTTTCAGAAAACTCCATAAAAGGGTCTGCTACAATAGACACCTGAAAAAAAGACAAAGAGTAATGTCTATAAAGCTATTGTACTGTCCATTCTATGGTTCTGAATCATGGATCACCTACCGCCATCATCTTCGACTCCTCGAACGCTTTCACCGTCGCTGCTTAAACACTTACTGGTTTGACCACGTATCCAGTGTTACTGTTTTCACACAGGCATGGTTCGCCAGTATTGAGACCATACTACTGAAGACACATCTCGCTGGACTCTCCATCTTCCAGGATGAAGGATTATCATCTTCCTAAGATTTTCTTTATAATGATTTGACTATCGGCTTCCTCAAAAGAAGAATCCCAAGAGGAGATACAAGGACGCCCTTAAAAAATATCTTAACCTTGGCCAAATACCTCCCCATCAATGGTTCATTGTCTTCGAATCGGGAGACATGGAGACATATCATCCATGATACTGCTGCTTCCTCCGAAAATACACGCAAAACCAGCTTTGAGGACAGATGACAATGCAGAAAAGACCGTATTTTATCAATACTAAGAAGATCTTTCATTGTGTCTTTTGCATTCGAACTTATCTGTCCCTCACTGGCCTTACTAGTTATCAGTGTTCCTGTAGCAAACGTAGTATAACCCTTGACATATCTTCGTTCACAGAGCCTAGCTACGATTCCAATTAATCAATGCTTATTTATTGTGCCATTAATTAATCAATGATTATTTACTAATATCTTCAACGAGAAATTAAATATTGGCCAAAATTCTTTCAGATTTTTTACAGATAAAAATAAACATATAAATTGTTTAAAAAGTTATTAGAATTTTCAACTCAAAATTAAAATTTCAAGAGATTTATCATGCTAGAACCCTTATTTTTGACCTTATTTTTGAATTTCATCAGATTTCCCAACTGACAAGATTTGTAATTGGCTTACAACACCTTTGCATATTACTTTATACCTAGAGAAATTGAAAAGATTTAATCGAAGTAAAGTTATTCAAGCGGAGTTATGTCTAAATCTTGCATCATTTGCTAATTTATAAAACTTGGAAATGCAAATCTGTCATTTCCGGATGAATGCTACTTGCAAAAGTTTACAAAGCAAGTTGTATTATTGCATTCTAGCTTGGCTTCTAATTACCAATGACACCAATTTTGGCAAAGTTTATTATTTTAATGAAAACTAAATGTTTCAGACTTTTTTCAGAGTGCTTTTTCTTCATCAACATTGTTCGAGATTATTTCAGTTATTAAAAGAAAAAAAAAAATTCTTCTACAGCGATAATATCTGTCAACCATTGGGATGATGTTTGATATGGCTGTTAAATTTCATAAAAAAAAAAGAATGATAACTGAGAATTCGTCACAAAATGTTCTGTCAATCATTATCACATAAAATGTTTGGAGTAAAAATATCATGAGGTAGTTGAGGTTATTATCTACTTGAACTTATTATAATCACAGTATAGTTGTTATAAAGAGGAAAATGTTAATAGTATGCTGTAAAAATGGCATTTTTCAATTTCTCTAATTCTATTTAACAATATTTTACAGGAAAGTTCGCTCAAATTAATGAACAGAAAAAAAAAACGGAAAGTTAGTTAAATGAGAAAGTAGTAATGAAATTCTAGATTTGTTATTTGCTAAAGTAAGAATTGAAAAAAAAATTCAATTATTTCTTTTTTGATTTCAAAAGAATGTTTCTTTCAAAAAAAAAGGAACGAAAACTGGACAAGAAGTTTGGTTTATATATTTTTTCCTTTTGAAAATTGTTTGTTTAACCAATCAAAAATAAGATTGGACCATTTTTTCATTATTCATTCGTAACATTTGTCAACCAAACTAGACCATGACAACACTGCTTCTTCCATTTCTCTTCGCTACCATTTTTACTTACTTCTTCCTCATATCCTTTTTTTCTTCATTTTACCAATACATTTTATTAAATTGTTATCGAAGCAATGCCATAAAGTACCTCTCATCTCATCACAACAACCAAAAGTACAGGTATGAAGATCATTACGTATCTGTCAACCACATTACTTCACTCATTTGCACCTTCACTTTGCACCGCGGATTATTTTCATCGTTTTGCTTCTTCTGAAACTAATTATTCCATATTAATTCTTAAATTTTCATCGCTATGATCCATGAAAGAGCTACTGTGGGATGTTTCATTCTTAATTCTGTCAATCGAACTATCTCCTCTTCCATTCATATTTGAATATCTTTCATTTCTGCCATTCATTACTGCTCCACTGAACTTCATTTGCAGTATTTTTAAGTTGATTAATTTTATTTCTACTACTTTTTAAATGTAAAAAAAGGGGGGAAAGGTGAAAGAGAAAGAGAGCGAAAGAGGAAGAGAGATAGAAAAAGTTTTTTTTTTTGAAAATGAAAGATGAATGTATTTTATCACGAACAGAAGCGGCTTGCATGGCTGGTGTAGGTCGTGGCCCAAATGGTATTGATGAATTACGAGCGCTATCGTCCAACGGTACTAACAATGTCGATCGATGGTATACCGTGGAACAGTTCGAAAGAGTCAGCTTATTTTCAGATCGAAAACACTTTGGATAGACAGATATGAATGAAAACCTCGAAAGTAGTTGTTCACTTTTCGGATAAAAATTTTTGAGCCAAAACTTAAAAATAAATAAGGGACAAGAATTCCAAAGAGTCTAGCTAAATTCTAAATAAGAAAGGATACGATTACGAGAAGTGAATGAAGTAAATGTTGTGTCACCTAATCTTAATGTTATAAGTGTCAGCATCGCTTAATCATCAGCTAACGCCTGATAATTGAGTAGCTGCAACGAGATCCCTTTTTTCTTGTTTGAATTAAAAAAGGAATCTTTATTTCATGGATGATTATGGTTTCTTTAACAGTTTATCAAAAAATTTTCTTCAAACAAAAATTCTAGGATCATGTCATTGAAATACTCGAAAAGCTTGAACAAGGCGATCTAGAAGACGAAATATGGGGCAAAATTATTTTAATGGAAAAATGCAGATGTCTTGCAAAGGCATATTTGAGGTCACTTCTTATTCTGCTTATCTCTGTTTATCATTTAACCTCTTCAATTGCTTCATTATCGTCATAAAAACGAAAAATCGTAGTCTTTATTGAGCTAATCATTTATTTCTTTATGTGAAGATAAGAAATTTACGTTATGATTATTTAATCACTTGTCCAAGAACATACTGAATGATTCTATCACTGATATCCATACTGATATCATTAGTATGAACAGGTGATTTTGTTGATGGTTATGCTTAATCACATTTGGATTTATTTTAAACACTGTTCTAAAATAAACACCAAATATTTCAAAGAAGTTTAAAAGTTTTTCTATTTAATTTTAATTTTCATTCCTCTAATTAATTTAATCTTTCTTACTTCTCATGTCATAATGAAAATGACAAATATGGACAGCAGTAAGTGAAATTACAGTTTAGAAAGACAACAGTGATAATCGATGGTAGTATCGATGAGTATGATGGTACCACACTTGGTTTTAATCATTTCGAAAGCTTTGATCATGATAAAGACAGCAGTGACATTCGGCATAAAATTGGCGATGTTTGTTGTTTTATTTTGAAGCATTTTGTTCTTCCATTTTGACTGCTAAACGATCTTCCATAAAATTTTCCCAACGGTTGGAATTTTCAACAATTCACATCCCTAATTAAAATACTATTACCTACCTGGTGTTCCAATTTAATGATAAACAAATCTCCTCAATTTATCAAAGGGAAGTGCATTATCAGCAACATGGGATACTGCTAAACTGAAAAATATAATATTCAATAATTACTTGTATAATACTTAATAATTAATACAATATATTCAATAATTACTTCAATAATTAATATAGTATGTTCGTTAATTCAATAATTAAAATATAATATTCAACAATTAATATAATATTCAACAATTAATATAATATTCAATAATTACTTTCAATAATTAATCAATTAATTAGTAATGATTTAGGGTGTGATCATAAAGATGGATGGAAACGGCAATATTAAAGCCATGGCACGGGGCTTGGCCCCAGTGATTGTGCAAGGATGGAATGACTTGACATCGAACTGTATTCCTGAACAATTGATCGCTCAGAAGGGTCGTCTGAAGACCATAAAAGATCGCTTTAAGGGTATTACTGATCAACAACGAGTTGAAAAAGTTATCACTTTATCAGTGAAGCTATATATTTTCTTAAACATGATAAATATCCATTGATAAAGCGTAGATGTAGCATAAATAGAAAATTGCGCTCATAGAATTCAACAAGTTATAATTGTTATTTTCAAAGAAATTAAAAAGAAATTCCTTAGAGAGAGTAGGAAATTATTAATAATGATTTAAGTAATAAACAATCATCTAATTGACTAATTTTTATTGATTAAATGATCAATTTAATGTGTGGTTGTAAGCCTTTAATTAGTTGCTATAAGCTTCTCCTACAGATTATTTTCTAATCTTAATTAATTGATTTTTTAGCAAAATACAGTGATAAAGTAAGAAATATCAACGGAAGAGGTAGTTTTCCAAATGTGACTAATGGATTATTTTGAATTATATCTTCCTTTAATATTTAATTTAGTTAATTCAATTGACTATTTCACCAAAAACTTACTTTGAATCATATCTTCCTTTAACAGATATTTGATATGCGCTTGTTTAATTCGGCAGTTGAACGTGAGTTGAAACAACCGGAACCGAATATACCGGAACTTTTGCTAAGGACTTGCATTCGAATAGCACTGGTAAAAGATTCGGGAATGAATGCATTAAAAACTCCTTGTTGGTTTATGATTGTTAATTTAGTGGCATTGGATGTACTACGCAGCAAATTACCCATTCTACGTAATGATTATATTAATTTCTATTTTCATTCTTTATATTTTTGATTTGATGAAAGTTTAGTCTTTTTAAAATTTCATAAAAGTATGCAAAGAAATGAACTAATTCGAACATAAAAAGAATGAATTTAGAAAAAGAGAAATTTTAATTTCCAGATTCAATACCTGGCATACAGTATCATTCGTTCCGCAATAATAGTGCCGTAACTTCGGTACCATCAAAAATTCAATCCACTGCAAAGTCGACTGAAATATTCCGTTCATGCACAAAACAGTACGACTAATTTTCATTTAATTTAAAATCTAACAAAAAATTTTTAAATGGAATATTTCAAAGTTTTGATAATTTTAAATAATTTACTCTGTCCATAGATTATCAATGGGTGTTTCCGGAAAGAAGTCTAAATCATTACCGGCATTCGATCAAATCCGGCAACTGATGCAGCTTGCTGATATGCAACAAGAGAAAGCTTCTGTGTTACAAAATTCACATACATTACGACGACGCAGGCAAATTACTCTTTCCGTAATCATTCTTTCTCTAAAATGCAACAATCAATTGAATATTATTTTAAATTCTAAAAACGAAAAAAAAAGATATTTTAAGATATAAAGCAAAACTGATAGAATGAAATAATTCATATATTTTTATTTAATGCAAAAATCATTTTATTTCATCGATTTTTGATCTCTGAAAATGCATTAAAATCTTTTAAAATGTCTTTTTAGCAATTTCGGAAATATTTAGCTGAACTTTTTTTTGTGTATTTTAGACAGAGATTTTTTTTTTTTTTTTTTTATCATTATCATCATTATCTTCCAGTGGTTTTAGCAGCATGGATTAACTTTGGCTTCTATTCTTTTTCATGATTTTCATCAACTTCTTTTCTATTTCGAAAATTCGTTTTTTGTTTTCGCTTCTCTTCACATTTTCCTTCATTTAAATTTACACCCTCTTTCTGGCCCTTTTTTTTTAAAGAAATTTGTTTGTCCATTTTAAGCATTTTCGGGAAAGTTTTCAATTCTTGAAATTAAACTTTTCTCAGATCATTGTCATGTGCTAACTCCGAGGACATGACAACAGTCTTGCAAAAAGGAAAGCATAATAAGAAAGAGCGCTCACAATCCCAAAACTTATCATTATCATCATTATCTTCCAGTGGTTTCAGCAGCATGGATTTGGTGAAAAATTTTGAACGAGTCGAAAAGTTTGTTCATTTCGTACTTGTTAAGTACTATTTACTAAAGATAAACTGAAATCTTTTGAATAGAATATTCTTAAAATTCATCCAAATTATTATCAGAAAGATTATGAAATTATTCTTAATCCAATCTAAGATATAAATAACTTTGAATGAACTTTGCAGTTGGCGCAAAAATTCATTGAGATTTTTGGATGATAATAAAGAAGATGAAATTCTAAAGGATGAAAAAATGGACGATATTGCTTCCTCAGAAGTTTATTGTTTTTCTATTTACATTGATTATCAAGGAATTTTAAGTTGTCAAATAAGTAATACTTGTGAGGAATTTCATATAACCTGTGCAATAGTTCCATTATTCATTCCGAAATAATTCAAATACTGAAAAAAAAGGTCATGAAGGTCAAAATAAGGTTAAATCATTTATAAATCTATTATACATTCATGTTTTAGCATAAATTGCATAAATCCATGGAAGAAGAACGGTCATTCGAAAAACCAGTGCCAAAAATATATAACCATTATGCTCAACGAAAACCATTAATATCAGATTTGTTTATAAATAGAAGCAACAGTGGTGTGGAAGATTTCTTGAACAATGATATATATCGTAACGATTACCGTATCAGAATATCTGACAATGATGACTGCATGAATCAAACATCTGAGAAATATTGTCGATTTGGTAAGTGATATAAGTTATAATTGCATACTCACTGCTAAATTATAATATTTGGAATTAAAGTAATTAAAATAGCAAAGAATTGAAACAAAGTTGTATAGAAATGTTCATGGCATTTGATAGATTTCAATATCATTCAAATTTGAAGCCTGAAAGATTGGTCAGAAAAAAATGTTAGTTAGAATAATTCCTCAAACTAATTAAAATAAATTTTTCCTCTTAGATGAAAGTTATTCAAATGATCCTGTAATGTTATGTGTTAAAAATGATGATCTTTCCTCAATTTTAATTTTAACTTAAAATTTATTTTAAAAATTATTTAGCCAATAGCAAATTACGAGCACAAGAGGATTGCGCAAAATTGGTTGAGCAGACTATCGCGCCATGTGGAAATGTAAAAATTGCTCCGTATTCTTGTCAAACAGAATCTCAATTGTGGAAAGAAATCTATAAACCAAAAGAATCGAAAACAGTCTCCAAAAATATGCCGCATGTAAATTCTGTGTCAGTAGAAGCGGAACATACTTCTTCAGAGCGGAATCAAAAATATCCTAATAAATCAACATCCAACCAAAAGACTGCATTATCGACTATCAAACATTCAGGATTGATTACAAATGAAGGATATGTGAATCATCGATATTTTAGATATCCGGAAAATAACTCAAGTGAAATAATTGCGAATAATATGAATAGTTCATGTGATGCCAAAAAGCATTCAATCAGGCAATGTCCTGATATGATGGAAAGTGCTACAACTAGCAATCGTAGAAATGGAAGTGAAAACCAACTCTTCACCAAATTACCGAAAATGAATTGTACACGTAAAGAGATCAAAACGAGCATCAATTTGATGTCATTGGATCGTTCTGATCATAAAAATACAACAAATACTAGTGATATTTTAAATATGAATCATCAGATATATTCTTCGGGAAAAGCTCGAGACTCCCATAATGAAACTTACAACGTTCCTGAACATACTTATGTTCCCGAATCCAATAGTCGGAAGAAGGATCATTTGAAAAATATGTTTATTTTTCCAGGAAAGTTGCTGAGAAATGTAGCAGGTGATTTAAGATCAGAACGGAGTTCATGTAAACCCATAATGGGAGGATACTCAAAGAAGCCTGATTCGAAAATTGAACAAGCCAAATCACAAACACAACTTCGAATGGAGCCTATTGTACATTTGGTACCGATTGTCAGGAAGAAAGAACAGGAAACGATGAGTTCCCCAAAGAAGAAAACAATATTGAGGAAATTTGTCGTGGAAGAACCGAGGCACACACCAAATATTTTCATGAATCCGGTCTACGTTAACACAAAAACAGGAATGACTACATCTAATGGATGCAGTCAACAACCTGAAATCAAGGTACCACAGTGGGAAATTCCTACTTTGTACAGTTCATCTCGAAATAACAGAAGAAATGCCTCATACGAACATTTCAACTTTGTTCCATCTTCTCTACTTTATCCAGGTCAATCAAGGAAAACATTGAGGAGATTCATTTAGTAGGTGTTAATTATGGATGCAGATAGATTAGCTAATTAGCGTAAGAAATCATCAAATTAAAAATTTCCGAATACTTGCTTGATAAAAGCTGTAAGCTTATCAAAGTATCCTCGAAAGCATAACCAAAGAACTGAAATAATGTTTGACGCAGTTGGCATTTATAGGAAATTAAAAGTAGAAAATAGCTAATTTATGTTTATCTAAATTAGTTTAATTTCAAAGTAAATGATTTGATGTATTGTATGTTTTACATTTGAATAATTGCGATAAATGAATGATAAAAAATTGATATGTTATCCCACACTGTGATAAGATCCTCTTTTTCATAAATTCATTGTTTTGTCCAATAAATTAATTTATCAGTCAATATCTATCATTTGTGTTATCAGTTTTATGATGGTTTGATATATTATAGGG